CAAGTAAGGGGGGGGGCGGCACGCAGGGGAACTCCCCGCCTCAGCTCATCTCTGCTCCACCTCCTCCCCTGAGCACACTGCCCCACTCTGCTTCTCTCGCTCCCAGGCTTGCAGCACCAAACAGCTGATTGGCGCCGCAAGCCTGGGAGGCGGGAGAAGTGGAGCAGCAACGGCTTGCTTGGGGAGGAGGCAGAGCAGAGGGGAGCTGGGGCGGGGAGCTGCAAAGATGTTAAGCAATGCATAACTACACAAGAAGTCTATTGAAGTTTATGAAACTACTCACATGTGACCAGGGCTGGATTAATGCAGGGGCTTTAGGGGCTGCAGCCCAGGGCTTCGAGCTAAGGGGGGGTCCCACAAAAATAAATCCATAATTATATACAATTCAGTGGTCACCAACCCATCAATCGTGATCGACTGGTCGATCCTGGCGCCTCTGTCAGTTGATCACAATCTCCGGGCTGCTAAAAGTCCAGCAGCGCACAAGCAGGCTGCCTTCTTACCGTGGCCCCACGCTGCTCCCGGAAGCAGCCGTCTGCTGGCACATCTCTGCGGCCCCTGGAAGATGGTGGGCGCGGCAGCTCTGTGCGCTGCCCCCGCCCCCAGCACCGTCCCCGCAGCTCCCATTGGCTGGGAACTGGCCAATGGGAGCTGCCATGGTGGCGCTTCTGGACAGGGGCAGCGCTTGCGTGCAGCGCACGGGGACATGCTGATCCCCTCCCCCCAGAGACACGCAGAGACATGCCAGCAGAAGGCTGCTTCCAGGAGTGGGGTGGGGCTCTGGCAGGCAACCAGCCAGTCAGCCTGCCTGAGCCCTGCTGCGCTGCTGGCCAGGAGCCACTTGTGGCAGGGGGGATAAAAATCAATGATTTAAAAAGAAAAAATTGGATTTTTTTTAAATAATTTGCTTTTTGAGGATAAAACCTATCTAAAGATAGTTTTAATTAAGATACATTATAGCTCAAAGATATCTCATCATGGAATAGGGATTATAAATTCTAAGTCTATAGTATGAGAATATATTCATGTAATGTTTAAGAAAAGTTTTGTAAATGAATTCCAATAGTTCATGGATTAGGGACCCAATTTTATGGGGTTCCAGGGTCTTCTGTATAGATTATTTTGGTTAATCTTTCTATCTACTCAATGGGACTCAGTGCTCAGTCTAGAAGATACCTTCAGAGATGCTTAGTTTTGCAGTTCTCAAACTGTGGATTTGTGTCTTCAGAGATAACAATCTTGTTAACAGCAAAAAATGTTTTTAAGTAAATATATATTTAGAAGTGAGAAATAACAGACCTCAACCCTATTGTCCCTCTGCAAATTTGTGTGCAGAGAGTCAATCCCTTACCCCTCTCTAAAAGTGCAAAGTTTCAAAAAATTCAATGAATAGAAGATTGTTGGGGGTGGAATAGATCTGGACAAGGAGATCTACAAGTCTGGAGATAAATGTGAGAAGGGAGAGAGAGGCAGTAGAAACAAAAGTGAAACTTTTTGAGCAGCATATTCCAGAAGTCTTGAGGTCTTTTTGAGTGTAGCCTTCATTGATTTGAGATCTACCATACCATTCTTTCACTAGAAGGGAAAACCTATAATGGCAGCAGCCTGTAAAAAGAGACCCAAGTTTGGGAATAAGAACCATTCAAGAAATATGTTTGCTGATGAGGTTTTAAAAAAAGTCACACCAGTGGACTGGTGGAAGTCACTTAAGCACTTGGATTCAGAGACTGTTGAAGTGATAATCTCACTTTTAACAGCAGTAGCTTCTTCTGCGGGTGTAGAAAGTCCAAAGAGAGAAAATATTCTAATTCATTCCAAATTGAGAAATTGTTTGGGACCTGAAAAAGCAGGAAAGCTTGTTTTTCTTTTCCAGATTATGAATAAACAAGAAAATGAAGGTGAAGACAACTGAGTTAGCTGCAGAAGCCAATATTTTAAGTTTCTCATGTTGACCTGGCTGACACAGTCAATTTAATTTTTTTTAAAATATTTCATTTAACTATTTTAGTTTAAAACTATTAACAAAAACAAAACTGATTTTAAAAAACTTGAATGTTTAACTAAATTTAAAAATTCGTATGCTTGTTTTGTTAAAATATTTTATGTTTGCTGTTGAAGAAAAAATCCAGAATACATAACATTGTTGTTTTAGTTAAATAAAACAATTGAACTGTTTGTCTGGTGATGTTCTCCTCCTAATACAGCATGGCAAGAAAATCCTCCAAATAATAATTAACTTGTTGAACTGGAGATAGTTCCCCAGCCAATGACTTCATAAATATCTGCTTCAGTTACCTTTGGTAAATGAAATAACCAAACCATCATTCATTTTCTGATACAGCTGTAAAACTAATCTGAGACGTTTTCAGAATAAATCACTTAAATGTATAGTGTGTACCT